GCCCTGTCATTTCCTGACCTACTGCCACAGCACCTAGACCTGGTCAACGTGCAGTACTGCTCACAACAGGCCATGTGGGCTGTGAAGCTCCACAAAAGCAGTGTGAAGTCTGAATCTCTGCTTTTTAGGCTTGAAGTCACTAACTCTTGCAGCTTTTCTTAATTTGTCAACAGTGTCAACTTCCCTGCCTCTTCTGCTTCTCATTACAATAGTGAGACCCAAAAATATGTTTTAATTCTGTTTCCATCTACTCGGTGAAACCTAGCAGTCACCACAGGTCAAACCAAGTGAAGACACTTTCTTGAAGTGAAGAGTAAATGGGATTGGAATTACCCACAGGAAACAGACAGCATCACCCAAAGAGAAATTGTGCCCAGGACCCGGACCCAGAGGAGTGAAAATAAGCTAAGGCGAGATTTCCCATGAGTTCTATACCTCTGTGGATAGTAACAAAACCAGTCATTCTGAGCAGAATAAGTGATAGCCCCAACTCTTGATCCATTCATAAAGTTACAGTGCTTTCTCTTCGTCCCTGGGCTCTCAAAATAAGATGTTTTTCCCCTCATGTTCCTACATTGAATTTAGAAGGAGAGTTCTTGACCTGTCACGAGTTTTCCATACATACCTACAGGTTGTTTGGCTTTCAGATTCATTTCCATTCATTCTATGCTCAAATATTTGTACCTGGAGGTGTTCTAGCCCAAGGGGTGAAAAGCCCTCCGTGGTCAGTAATGTACTATCTGTAGGAGTCGCTAAGGTCTCCTTTGTGTCCTCCCAACATCTGTATCTCTTATCTTCTTTTCTTAATAATCATTAGCAAATCACTATAAGAGAATCAGACCCTGAGGAACTTTAATTCAAGCCAACTACAGTAAGATGGAGCAGGTTATATCTGTACTTGCACCACAGGATATGGCACATTCTGGAAGAATGATTCCTCCCAGTGGCATGTAAAGCTTCATGGAAGGTATGAAAATTTATGAGAAATCCTGAGCTGATTCATGACCTGACTTGAAAATCGAAGGAAGAGCATTGTAGACACAATTGCAGCACACAGGCTGTCTTCCAAGAAGTCTGTCTTGGCTAGAATATCTCAGAATCTGGAATGTCCCTCTTTATCAGGGAAAAAGTATTCCATGTATTAGGGACCAGTGGGATGGGAAAGGCTCAGAGCAAAAGTGTTGGAATCATTGTATGGTTCTTTCATCCCTTTTAATTGGCAGAGAGTTGGCCAGGAATAATCCAACACAACCAGTGTCAACAGGAGACAGTCCCCGAGATCTTTACTATGACATAAAATATAAGGATCGTCACTGACCCATGGCTCTTCCTTCACTCTTGTGGGAAATGCACCCATCTTTTGGACTCCCCCAAAGAACAGACAGGGCGCCTCTCTTCTCCCCCTCATTTGTTCTGCTGCTATTAAAATTCCTTCACCGACACAGGGCTAAGTGATAATCTGGAAAGCCTGAGGAACAAGTGCATACAGAAGCCCACCTCCTTGGGGTCTTCCACTTCTACCACCCCCTTTGATCTAAGCTTTCCTGACTTTAAAGCAGAACAAGTGCAGGTCTTATGGTGTTTTTTTGTTTGTTTTTAGTTTTTCTTTTTTTGGTAAAAAAGACTAACCTATAGTACATAAGAAAATCTTGCTTCTTCCCTCCTCTATTTTCCTGCTATTCAATTTATTTTGTTTTTAAGAAGTGCATTACTTTAAAAAAAAAAAAAAAGAACTTTGATTCTTTTTTTAGCTGAAGATTATAGAAATCTTTAAACATCCTTAAAAATAGCTTAAACATTTCTCTGAGGATCAGATATTAGAATTTATGAATTGTACTGCTGGTCATCCTTGTTATGAAGACTTACTATTCTAATAGTTGTCAGATAGATAGCTTTTTGCCTTCCCTCATAGCCAGCCCTTGAACTGTACGTCATTAAATGACCTACTGTTGATGACTTTAGAAAGGCTGAAAAATGTCAGTGTGTAATCTCCAGCTCTAACAAGGAAAACCCAAAAGCAAAATAGAGCGTAACTGTTTAGAACTCATTTCTTCTAACCAGTTCTTTTGTACCAAAGGATATCTCTCTGGAAGGAAGGGGTTTTTCATGCTGTAGCTGTATGTGGGATTGTATTAATTCTTCCATCATAGACCTGAGTTGTTTTTAGTTTACTTCGTGCCCCTTAGTGTTAGGGAGGACAAAGGCTGTGTCTTCTCGTACCCTCCCTTTGAATTAGAGAGCCCTGTGGGCACAATCTGCCATCAGTCTCCTGAGCAGCACCCAGGCTGGCTTTCTGAGCTGTGACATAAAAAACTCCTAAGAGAGCTTACAAACTTTCACACATAAAACAGTCCTGGGAAGAAGGTTATTAATAGCCGGATCCTAGAAGAGAAAGCTGAAGTTCAGAATTGCTAAGTGACTTGCCAAAAGCAATATAGCTGGTAAGTGGCAGATTTGGGGACATGCCTAGGACTTGCCAGGCCCGTGCTCTCAGAGGACAACATGTACTCCTCACAGACTCCTGATATCCCTTTTAGAAATCCTGCAGGGAAATGAGTAGAGGCCATCTGGCCATCAGCGGCCGATGCATATGTGCACTGTGGTGTTTACGATCACTTAGAGCCCACACACATCTTCTGTGTCATCGGGTGGGAAACCACTAGGTATTCTGTGTGATCAGCACTCTAGTGGAGTTGGTGGGGAAAGGCCACGCTGGAACAAACAACTGGTGCAGAGGTACATGCAGCAAATTTCCCCAAAGGGAGTTGGTTTACATTGCATTAACCAAAAGCCTCTCTGAATCTGTCAGGTTCAGAGTATGAGCTGAGTCCATATCATTTTGAATTCAGTGGTGTACAAAGGTGACTTGATCCTTAATTCAGACCTTTCTGCCGTGGACAGGACTCTCTCAAGAGCCCCTCTCTGAGGCACATGATGCTGTAGGTACACAGTACATATTAGCTCCTCCGTCTCAGTCCCTATTTGCCAAGAGCACACCAAGTGTGTGTTGCTGCCGTAGGTGGTTCTGGCCCAGCCACTTTGTCTCCTTGGAGTTTCTGAACAAATGCTATGAGACCAATGGCATTTCTGAGGCTTGGATGCTGCCATTTTATAGAATGGGCTTCCCTGG